GTCGGCAGAGCAGGCCGGTAGTGAACCAGCTGCAGGGATGGGAGGGTGATTTCGGCTTCGTGTACTTTTCCATTTCACCCCCACGTACTTGTCGGCCTCTATAGTATTTGCCTGTACGACTAGTGGAAGCAATATCAGACTCGGTCTCCTTACTTCTTTTTGGACAGCTGCTGAAGGTGAGTGGGACTAGATATTGCAGTAGTACCAGCGCAAAAGGCTACTGTCACTTAAAACTGAGTTAGGCGGTGTTTCTGGTCTGCATTGGAGAAAGCGGCTTACGCCTGATTCCTGCTCGGTCATATCGACTCTGTCTTGTCACCGGTTCAAGCGCTATAGCTGACTGCCTGACTACAGTCATCATCCCCGCTCTTGGGCATGTGGTGGACATCATCGAAATCGATGGTCGACCTATCACCAGGCGAAAAGGACTGTTCTAGCGTTTAGCGTCCTGATTACTTCTGGTTAAGAAAGAGAATCGGGAAGGGGTCTTTTTCCTATGTCGTAGTTTCGGTTAACGAAAATTGTTGGCTGGTACACCGCACACCTTGTTTGCTTTCCTTCGCCGGTTGAAACCGTTTGTGACTGCTGTCCTCACAACTTTTTCCTAGAGCCGCATAGAATTAACATCCTGAGAGATAGATCGGTGCACAAACAAAATAATAAACTCTGTCCCTGGCCTTTAAATAGGCGTGTCCTAATAGAGGGTTTGGGCGTCAAATGTAATAAAAAAGGTTGCGTGTTTAACGCGAAGACTTTAAAACTGAATGGTCTCAATGAATAGCCTCGAGTAACCGAGTAGAGGACGGTGTCGTGAAGGGGTTAGCAAAGGACATCCTGGGCAAAGATCCGAGTTTGAAGATGCACTGCTAGTGCCTACTTCGTAAACAAACGGCTTTCCTTTCAGTACTATGTAGGGAAGCAAGTCACACAGTTTTGGAGGATTATAGAGTCAGGTAACTCTTAACGAACTTTCCATCGACACGCATCCTTCGAACTGTGTCATTTAAAAGCCTACAAAAGATTTAGAATTGTTAGATTGAGGCGTATTTACCTGTTGGGAAACTTACTTTTTCACAGTACTTGTCGGCATTCACAAAATGGTTACTAAGGTAATCGCAGTTAAGATGGCCACTTTCTCACTTTTTGTATGGTAAAGGGCTTGTTGTTCGAAACGACTTTTAAAAACTTTACTTGTAGCTCGTAGCTAGCGATTTTGTTTACTTTTCCTACGAGCGGACATCGCTTTCTTCCAGCTTTGAGGGGCTGGCTCTCGTAATTACATATGAAACCTCGGAATTGGGTGTTGATTGGTCGGTGAAACTGTCTAAGAATCAAATCTCAGGATCCACTTGCCTGAGACGGTAGTGACAAGGATCCGACTTTATGCGGGATACTTACTTGCTAACTTAACCGCGGCACTGTGTTCGGTTGGGCTGGGCGCATGTAATTTAGTCTTAAAGCATGAAGCGTCTTCCCTCCTTGTTTTCTGTCCCCGAACTTCTCATCCCCTTTTCCGGCCTTACAGGAAGCTGCAAGTTACAATCCGAACAACATCTCGATTGAGGAGTATTTCTCCCAGGACGCCAATGCAAAGCCCAAACGCGAGGTTGGTCGACCCAAGGTTATGACAGCCAAACTGAAGACCTACAAGGCGCATCTGTATCTATGCGAGGAGTACCCAGTCTCTCTGAAGGACCAGGTCCTACCAATTGTCGAATTGATGGCCGAATATAATCCCTACTTCTTCAAGCTGCAGGAGTTTCTCACTAAACAGCTTCCGTCCGGCTTCCCGATGAAAATTGGTAGGGTGATACGCCTCAGATCTCTACTCCACTTATTTTTGCACAGGTGTCTGACGTATTTCTTCTCTGCAAACGAGGTAGTTGCGCGCTGATAGGAATAACTCTGCCGTCGTATGGAATAAGGAGTGCACTTCAGTACTTCCGCCTTTGTGTGGTATTTTGTATCCTCTAACCTGTGTGCTATCCGATGCCTCTTCACTGTAGCCTAATAGATGTGGAGTTAGAATGAGTGTGTGTCTGATACACGTAGACTTGCTGTTTAACTTTTTTGGCTTCTGAGGATATACCAGTCTCCGGTCGACTTCCCCCTGTCTCTTCATTGGACCATAGTGGGCGTAGGAGGAGAGTGTGTAGTACATGCGGCGCAGGTCGTTACTGCCCTCATATATATATATATATATATATATATATATATATATATACTTGAGCAGTACA